TCCATTTGTAGGTGAACTAGTTAAATTGAAAAAGTTGATTATGATTTTTCACAAGTGTGGAGGAAACTATTCACAAGTGGAATTAGATAATTTGCGATACGAATACACGTATTAACAACAACTCATACATTTGTAAGTGGACTAATGTGATTAAAAAAGTTGATATTCACAAGTGGAATTAAGACATTTGCAAGAATGATATGTATATTAACAACAAAAATACATCTATTTGCAAGTAAGCTAGTTGGATTCAAGAAGTCGAATATGATAATTCACAAGTCCCTCCCACACTTGTGAAAAATTAGATTTAACTTTTTCAATTCAACTAGTTCACTTGCAAATAGACGAGTTCTTATTGTTAATGTGCATATCCCTGTTGTAAATTGCCTAATTCCACTAGTGAATAGTCCCTCTAGACTTATTATATTATCATATTCAACTTTTCAGTTACATTAGCTTACTTGCAAATAGACAACTTTTTCTAGTGAATCAACTTATCCTTATTGCAGATTTCCTAATTCCAGTTGTCAATAGTACACCATATACTTGTAAGTTGGTGGGAAAAGACAGAAGATTAGAATTAAGTGACATGTAACATACTCATAGTATATATTCCCTGAAAAGGAAATTGTGAAAATTCTCTATATACAAATTTTAACATATTCTGTAGTAGCTTAAATTACATCTCAAATAGAAAATATAACAATTGCTATGTCATTGCTTTCTTTTTGGTTGTGTCTTTATCCGTTGAAATAGTTTTGTAATAGCAGCTGACTCCATATTTCTTTTACAAGTAACAAGCCACCAAACAACTCAAACCTTAGTAAAGTGTTTTGATCATATGGCACAATAATAAGTACTGTCAATAAGTTCACACTGGTGCAATAATCATAACTCAGAATAATGAAGGAAGTCATAAACATATAATTAAACTCCTACCACTGTATAATAATGCATGGTAAATTTATAGCATGCAACTTTCCTTCTTACATAAACCTCATACTTGTAAATATACTAATTGTTATGCACTAGTTCTCCTTGTAAATTTAGCTTGTTAATTCATTAGTTCTCCTCGTAAATTACCTAACTTCAATTGTTATACTACTAAATAAAAAATTACTACAATTTAGCACTTAGTATAGAATATTCACAAAATCATATGAAATTACAGAGGGCGAATGAATCAACCAAAAGTAAAAACATCACAAACAAGATAATCGGAAAGCATGACCAATTATAGGAGTTAATATGGAGAGATAAAAAAGACATAACACAATACCCATACCAAAAGAGACATAGTGAAATATAGGTTGGCAAATCTCATTATCAAAATCTCCTTTGCACAGATATTGAATATAAAACCAACCAGAGCTAAGCAAAAGCTCATTAATGAAGGAACGATAAACCTCTCTCAAACGATCTTTGTGAGTTTTGAGAGTGAGAGAACCAACACAATGAATGGCGATGAATCTCCTTTGGACGACTTTTCAGAGTGACAGAAGCACAAGATGGACGACGAGTTTTGAGAGTGAGAAAGGGAAGAGTCTATGAGATTTCAGAGTAAGAGAGGAAAGAGTGGGAAGAATGACCCTAATTTTTCAGCCCTCATTTTTTTCTAAATTTAAGGAGAAATAGTTATCATGGGCAATTATGTCTTTCTCATTCCTCAATTAATTTCATTTGACTCTTTTGGTCTTGTTGCAGTGATGTTTCGGAATTATTTGGTCCTAAATGAAAATTATGTTGCTACAGAAGTCCTTAATTGAAACTTTCCCATAAATAAATAAAGAAATTATCAAGACTAAATTGGAGTGTTCCAAAGGTGAATGTACTGTAGCATTTTTTTTTTTTCCATGTACATGGAAAATCATAAAATATTTTGTGGTATATTGAGTATCTTAAAATATTTTTTAGGTGCATCTAGTAATTTATAATATTCTTTAGTGCAAAAAATCTGGAAAAAAAAATATTTGAAGTGTTGGATGCACCAAAATATAATTTAGGGTACTAAACGCATTCTAAAAAAATAATTTAAAATGTGAGATGCATTACAAAATATTTTAATACTCCTCCGATTCTTAATATAAGACCCAATTCTTGAGTTGGTTTTGGTCCTAAATATAAGACCCATTTTTCATATTTATCCATTTTCTCTAAATTACCCCTATGGATACTTCTTCAACCATAATCATGTAGAAGAGGGAGATGGGGTATTAAGAAAGATGATTATGGTGTTTTAGGAAAAATGCGTCACTTTTCTTATAATTAACTAATTTACTTAACTTCCTTAATCTAATCAAATTAGTTAAATAGGTCTTATATTAAGGACTGGAGGAGTATATTGAATGCACCTATAAAAATACTTTAAGATAATTGGGTGGATCTTAAGCCTAATTTAATGTTTTAAAATTGTGAATATAATATGGGCAATACTTACATCAAGTATTCTCCAATCACACATAACCATATATCTTATTTTTAAAATATTAACATTTAATAGCATTTAATTGTGAATTCACATAAAGTAGAAATGGACACATGACGATGAATTTCACCTAAGTTTTCTTTTCATATAATATCTAGTGCCTACTCATTTGTTACAATATTTAAAGTTTACTTGAAGTCCAATAGAATAATTTTTTTTTTTTTAAGACCAGCGAGTCCAATAAAGTAATTAATTCATGATCTGCCGCTGTCTCTTTTTCAAAGGGTTCAATATATAGGACCAAAATAAAGTGACATATTATTTTAATTTTTTTTATAATTCACATATTTATTATACTATTTTTCACCAGTTTGAATTCACGAACTCACGTTCAGAATAATCTCAAGGAAAGTTGAAATTGAAGAAATTTAAGAAAAAACCTATGATAGGTTCCCCTTAATTATGGACCCAATACTCTCAACACGATAAATAATATTAAGACAAAATAATATCAAAAATAAGAAAACATACAGGGTTAACTAGAGCCAATATTCACGATAAATTATTAGTCAGAAAAACCATACAGTAAAATGCAGTCGAATTTTGGAGACGTGCATCTCATAATAACATTTCCAGTCAAGATCTTCTCCATCTGAACCTTACTACTCCCATTTGACTTTGTAACACAATCATTTTGGGTTCCAGAGGACCGTAAACTTGCAATGCACGATAGAACCAAAATGACACACAGACCAAACTATCAAAAAATCCAGACGTAGTCCTATATATAATACAAGATTGTGAGGTATGGGATCCTCCCATATATATAGAACAAGAGCCATGAAATGAAGGAAGGAGCCTCTCACACATCCAATGCCAAAAGCGCGACCCTTCTTATTGTTATAGTTATCAACACAGCCTTTAACCACAATTCTATATATATCCGTCATCTTCCTCTTCATCTTCATATTAATGTTCCTGAATATCAATTTTATGTAAGCTTTAGTCAGAGCCATATCAGGCAAAAAAGAGATAAACAATTCTGGGGACAAAATGGCCCACACAATCTAGCTAATTAGGACTCAGTTGTCAGTATAAATCCAACAACGTTAATTAAAAACATAACAAACTTGTACAACAATTGGTTTGTGTAACATCCCAATTTTAATTCAGCAGAGTCATCTAAGGTTTAGAGGAGCTTACTTGTGTTCATTGATGTATAGAAGCACGTAAGATTGTGAATGAAGGATATATATATATATATATATATATATATAGCGGGGGTGGGGAGATTGTTGACGAAAAGAGGATATGATTTCTTCAATCATGTTCTCGGCAAAAAATGACTCCGGCTTAGTGTTTGAAATTGATGACAATGATCGATACAAAGGAGAGGAAAGGAAAGATATTTTGGAGAAAAGAAGTTTTCCTCTGACAGGGCTTGATAAAACCAAAGGTAGGTGTTCTAATTCGATTTTCCATGCTTCTACTTTAGAGTTATGGATTTTGTGATACTTGAAATTAGGGTTTATGAATGGTTCGATTTCAATTCTAAGGAGTTTCTACCAATTTATTTGTGTTTAAATGAATTGATGGAAGTTGATCATTACTCCTCCGCTACTTAATATAGGACCTAATTGTTGAGTTGATTTTGATTCTAAATATAAAACCTATTTATTATATTTATTTGTTTTTTCTAAATTACCTCTATTGATACTCCCTCAAGCATAATCAAATAAAAGAGGGAAGAAGGATATTAAGAAAAATGATTATGGTGTTTTAGGAAAAACATGTCATATTTCTTATAATTAATTGACTTACCTAACTTCTTTAATCTAATCAAGTTAGTTAAATAAGTCTTATATTAAATATTAGAGGAGTAGTATATAATTAGTTTAGTTTTGATCCATTACATAATTACGATGATTTCACCATTAAAAAGGAGGGAGAAGGGGGGGGGGAGACCCTCGAGTTTTTGCCTTGTAATTTTGGACCAGATCTAAGTGGATTTTCAATGCTAAAACCAAAACCCAAAAAAATAGACCCAACACCAACATTCATAAGAAATTATTAGCACGACAACCATAAAGCATACATATAAACAGCAAAAGTATTAACACTATCGAAAAATAAATAGCAAAATTAATAGATCTTTCATTTTCTCGATGCGTCAATGAATGCTGAGGACATAAATTTAATCAAGGAATCGTCAACTTTCATCATTGCGAAAATGAAGTGCTAGACTTAAAGTCAAACAACAGAGTGAAATAAGGGCAAACATGGAGTAATTGAAAAGCCAACTTTAATTTGATATAAATTCATGTCAGACGATTTTTAAAAATTAAAATGGAGAAAAATAAAGCAAACACAGACAATAGCAATGTTCATATACGTATATTATGAAGATAAATAATGAGATGATATCCATATTATAATAAAAGAGAAAGTCAAATCTTGGAGGAGATTTGCACCTGAATATCATATTTCCAATAGGGTCGGGGTCCCAAGAATGTCTCCTCTGTTTTCATTTGCATTTGAAGCTTATATCCTTCTGTGATCTCTATATGAGGGGGGCTTAGTTTCTCACAGTATCGGGCCTCAAAACATTGGAGAGAAGGACAGAGCATGGTCCCTCTGAATACAAAAGTTAATTCTGGTAGAAATTCCAGTCTCAACGATCTCACTTTGGGAAGAGTGATAGTAGGGTTAAAAGTGTTGCCGCCATTCTCTCTAATTATTTCTTCCATCGACTCACAATCTGCAACAGAAATAGTCTCTAGGTTTTGGAGCTGTGCTAATAATTCTGACGTCATCAGAATCGTCATTCCGCTACATTCCTGAATATGGAGTTCTCTGAGATAAAGGAACAGGCTATTCAAGGACAGAGGAAGTGGCATCACTATTTGTGTCAAGTTTTTCAACTCATCAAGGTACAGCCTTTCAACTAACATGACAGAGGCGCAAAATGAGCAAGTGGGAGTGCCACAGAACAAGTACTCCAGCTCATCGCATGCCCTTATTTCGAACCATTCAATTTTTGGTAAATTATTATTATTTTTTTGGACTGATAAAGCACAGCAAAGGCAAGTTGTCCTTGTCAAATGGTCGCACTCGCTTATAATCAACTCTTTGACGTCTCCTGGAAGTACCGCTACTCTATTTGCCCAATCAATACCACATAAAAACACCCTTTTCAAGTGGCAGGCTTCTTCATCAAGTGAATCATCATCATCACAAGGTGGTATGACTAAACTTAGATAATAACCTTTGAGTCCGCGATCTTCATCTAGGAAACTTATAACAAAGTCATTAAACTTTTCAATATCACAAAAAGTGACTGATATAACTTTCAGCTTTCTCAAACCTCGTAGATCCATTGACGTTGAGTGGCACCTCATCAACAGAGACTGTAGATTGGTCAATTCGGATATTGTTGATGATGAGATTGTGAACCCACCTGTACCTTCTAGATTCAACAATTCAAGATTGACCAACAATTCCAAGCCACAAGGTTCTTCACTGATTGCAGTACATGAAAGGTCCAACTCTATTAAACGCCGCAGTTTTGCTAATGAAGGGACATACTTCAATTCTCCACATCGTGAAAGTAATAATGCAATGAGACATTCCAAGTTAGATACAGATTTGGGCAAATGCCCAATGCTTGTCCGAGACAAATCAAGTATTTTAAGGGCAGGCATGTTAATAAAAAAATCATCTGGAATCCATTTGAGATAAAAATTAGAATCTAAAAGTAATGCGGAGAGTTTAGAGCACTTGGGAGATGTATCATTAAAAATTTGCGGTACGTTGCTTCTACTTAGAAAAACATTCTGCAAATTTTCATTCCATTTTCCATTCTCTGACAATCCTATTAAATTCATACCATGTTTTGTCATGATTTTTTCAGTCTTCTTTGCAATAGTAAGAGCCATGACCTGAAGTAAAGTGTGCACTCTCCATGTCCCATTCTTTTTCAACAACAAACTGCTATTTTTTAACTTTTGCCACATGGCATAACCTTCATTATATCGCATCGTGAAGCTCTTTGTCCCATCTGTCCATTCCCCATAGCAAAATCTTCTAACCAAAGGCTCAATATCGCTATCCCAAACAGTCTTGCTGACACTAAATGCACAATACAAAAAAAACCTTTGCAATTTATCATTTAAGAAAGAATAACTAGATTTCAATACTTGAAATACCCTCTCATCCATATGATATTGCTCGTCACCCTTGTTTTGAAGGCATTCCAACAAATGATCCCATTCTCTTATGTGCTCTTTTCCCTTCATGCTTCTTGCTATCATAACAATTGCAAGGGGCAAACGCTCACATTGTTTTGCCACCGCCCTTGCTTTAGGCTCCACCCCAATCGGTTGTATTTGATGGACTCCAAGAGTCTTTTTAAACAAATCAAAACCATCTTCTTTGCCTAGAGGTTCTACTTCTATTATGTTCTTCATACAATTCATACTTTGGCACACTTCCCACAATCGAGTTGTCAAAATCAATTTAATCCCATTATTTGAAACTGGAAATCCAACCTCTTCTAAATAGATAGGATTCCAAACATCATCTAAAATGACGACACATCTAGTTATGTGTTTGAATGCATGCAATAATTTCCCTGATATCCTTTTGACATCACACTCATCAGATATGTCTAAATTAATTGATCTTGCAATGGCCTTTTGCAACTTGCAAATGCTATCATCATAATGTGACACGGTAACCCAAATAATTTGCTCAAAGTCATCACCAGCTTCTTCTAAAAGTTTGTTATGCACATGAGTTGCCAAAGCTGTTTTCCCTGCTCCGCCCATTCCCCATATCCCAATGGCTGACACCTCATCTTCTGTTATCCATTTCCATATTTGTTGAGTATACCTTTGAAACTCTTCTCCCAATAAATCAATTGGCGGCAACAAATAACCTCTAGAACATTCTAGCAATAAGAATAAGAATAATCTATTAACATGAGTTCACAAAAGGAATTATAGATTTCAAATGCATGGAGTAAGAAGAATAAAATAGAAATAAATTCAATATATTGCATTTAGATATCCTTTACCATGTCTTAAAAACAAAGTAATACTCATCTAGCATGATGCGATGATAGCGGTTACTCCAGGAGAAATTACAAAGAATGTACAAATAATTTCTTACAAATCACTTCTCAAAAAGGGAAAGGGTATATATATTTAAGTTGAAGCATATACCTGTTTTCAAACGAACATTTTTTCTCTTCACTGTATTATCAGAATCATCCAATTCCATGTATGCCCCTCCTCTTCCAACATCTTCAACCCACTTTCTTTTAGTTCCACGTAAATCTAAATCTTCTTCACTATGGGCTTTTGCATAACTTCTTGCTGCTTCATCATATAGTCTTTCTTGTTCATTATTCAGGTTACTCTTGAGTAACTTTAAAGCCAAATCCAACCTTTCTTTATCACTGTCAAACTGAAATTTGTCCATATGTATTATTTAATATATGATAGAGTATTCATAGATTCATGTGCATGTGTGTGTATAAGAGCATTTAGCAAAACTAATTTGCATGTGACCATACCTGAAATAAGGGATTTTGCGTCACATAATGATCTGATTGTTGCATATAATTAATAACAAATATACCACAATCATGTCTACATATGGGGAAAAAAAAGATATGGTCAAAATGGATAGTTGCTTTAATAAAGATTATAATCTAAAAGAGCCATAAACTCACCCATTAGGCTGTAATAAGATATTGCTCGCCATTCTCCTATCAAATTTCGTGAACATAACATTTTCAAAGAGATTATCCATGGCAAGCAGCTACACAAAAAAGATACATTCTAAGGAATTAAAAGATCAATCTATTACTTGCATGTATATCACGTGCGTCTTTGTACTACTTACCAGGTTCTCTGTTGTTTGGTCGCGTTTAGTTTCATCCATAAATCGATCACATAGAGAATCCCATATTTCAACTTCCTGATTCTTCGTATGAATAATATATAGATAATAATGTCCACATGAATTTTTCTCAACATGAACAGGAATAAATATCTGTGACATGCATGTGATCAAACAAATCAAATTGATAGACAACCAAAAAGAGTAATCATTATGAAAAGTGAAACATCAAACTAGATAGAAAGATAATACCTTCTCACAATCCACCGATTCAGACATGTAGTTGTCTCTCATATTATTCCGCTGAACAAAGTCAAGGAAGAAACTTACATCACCACTATCGAGTGCTTTCTATAACAAAAGAATCCTTAATTAAATATTCTTGTCAATTAAATTGTCTTTAATTCAATAACTAACAAATATCATCCAATTGAAAAGGGAATAAGAAATCACCGAAAACATCACCGGAAGATACCAATTCGAAACTTTACTTTTGTTTCTCCTTTCATTGTCAGTGAGGATATCAGCAAAAAAATCTATTACCTAAGAAAATAGGAAAATTAAACACTACCATATAGCAAACCCCTTGCTCAATAATAACAAAATAGAATAAAAGTAGGATTAAGCTACAAATTTATCCCGAAAGTTTAAAATTGTAGTAATATTTCCTCCTATCATTAAAAATATTAACAGCCAATGTTACTGTATGGAACAATATTGCTACGATTATAAACTTTCGGAATAAATTTGTACTTTAATCCATAAAAGTATAAGTAAATACTCACCGATGAATCCAAATGAGCCCCTGGTCTAAGTGTGGTCAATTGAGATTGATACAGAAAAGAACGATGCGACGAAAAAATTTCACATCTATCACTAAAGAACATACAGGGTGAATGATTTAATTAGGCTTCACATTAGAAAAACTACATATTACTACTACTCACACATAAAAACACCAATTATATATATATATATATATAGTTGTAAGCATATGAATCTAACCTTAAACGCTCAAAAACGTATTGTATCAACTGTAAGTCAGGTTCGTCCACAACATTATTGGGAACACAAAAAGGGCCGACCTTAATCCTCTCTTGATGCATAGCTTCTGAGTCGATTTGAACTTGCTGGGGAGCCTTCATCCCTTCCCACATTGTTTTGGGGGACATGTAACAATCAAGAAAATATTAATTAAAAACCGAAATATGCACCAAAAGAAATTAAAAATTGAAATACTAACAATACCCTTTCAAGGTATGCCAACATACTATTTCTCTACTCCAATTCTTAATATAAGACCCAATTAATTAATTTAAAAATATTAACAAAACTAAATAAATTACTTTAAAATATTTATATTTACCACTTTCTTCAAATTAATTTGTCTAACTCATAAACTACTACCTTCGATGATTAGTATAAAAACTAGATAATTAATTTAGAAATATTAAAAAACTAGATAAATTGGCTATGTATCATAAATATGTGATGATCACTCTAAATTATCCTCTCCAATCATATGTATTGAATGATTAGAATTATTCCTTAGTGAGAATCCCTTGCAATCAATAAGGATATTTTAGGTGAAGATGGGAGACCAATTGGATTGATATCTTATATTTAGGAACAAATAGAATTTTTAACTAACTCTTGTATTAACCGAACCGCAAACCAAAAAATCATGAAAATATGTTATAATTAAGTCATTAACTTAGCTTGTTTAGTCTTCCTAAATTAGTCAATGAGATAGTATACATCATTATTCATTCAAATTAAAATAATATTATCTGAAAGAGATCCTGTTTCAGCCTGGTGTCTTTGCTGGAAAGAGAAGTAGTACAAGGTCGAATACCCTTACCCTTAATTTGATAAATATGAGATTTGATTCGATTCGTACTTGCTGCAAATTCAAATCCACAGTGATTGCACTTTACTTTCTTCTCCCCTTCCAATACAGTGACGTGTTTCCACGCTTCAACATCCTTAGGCCTTCCACCAGCTGATCCTTCTTTCCCCATTATTCTTGCAAGAAGAAATGAATATCTGACTGGTTTGAAGATAGATATGGAATATGGATGCCCAAATCAAAGCAAAACTATATAGCAGAAACAAGAACCGAGCAGCGTAAATAAAGAGAGAAATTAAAGAAGTTACTTGCATCAGGTTGTTGGAAGATCCGAGATGGATGATTTGAAGCCAGCAGACAATAAGGAAGAAGATAATGGCAGTGTCTGCTTTGATCCAAAGCTATGAAACTATGAAGCCAAACTTTGTCCCATCCCAAGGTACAATCAACCGAAACTAAAGATGCAAAATCACAATTATTAGAAGAACAGACCGATTAGATCTGATCAAGGAGAAGTCATGGAGGCTGCTGAAAGAGCAAGACTCCTTCTAGCTTGTGATTAAGTTGAGACTTGCTGGTAGGCTGCCCCCCTCTTGACTGAAAGCCTGAAGTCGCGTTGCAAGTTCAAAACTCTGAGGAGGTATTGCGAGGAAATGACGGTAAACTAAAGTCACATCAATAATGGAGGGGAGAGATTAAAGTTTTGTCGGTCCCGTCAATCCGATTGATTATTGCGTGTGAAAGAGCAGAAAGAGAAAAGAATTGATGTGCTGAACACAGAGCGAAGTATATTTTTCATTTGCATGCAAGGTTTTAAAATATTTTGTAGTGTAATTTATGAAAACTAAACTTCTCCATTCCTTGTCATCATCCTCGTCAGGATCTTGAGAAAAAAAATAGTTATGCTGTTAAATATCATTTCGCACTAGCAATTTTGATTTTGTGATTGCTGGTTAAAAAAAAGAAGAAGGAGAAATTGTGAATAAAAACTCCTGAATATGTAAAATTATGATTTGGGACCTTCGATTTGGAAAATAATTCATTTTAACAGATGACAATTTCAATAAACCAAATCACAACTTGACTGAAAGTATGTCAAATGACAAGTTAACTATAAGAAATGACAAGTTTACTTTAGTGAATAACAATTTCAAGAGACTAAATTATAATTTGACTGAGAAGCATTTCAGATATTTCACTACGATTTGATATTTACAAAAATAGAATCGGGTCTTTATTTGTTATTTTTTAAATTAAGAGTTCCAAATCACAATTTTATATATTTAAGGGTCTTTATTTGTAATTTCTCAAAAAGAATTGATTTTCTAATTAGTTTTTCAAAAGATCTGCTAAATACATGCATATTAATTATCATTAAAAAATATTTTAGTATTTTTTGGGTTTAGATATACCTAAAAAATATATAAGAGTTGGATGCATCACAATACTTTAAGATACATGATGCATTATAAAAATATTTCAAGACGTTTGACGTAGAGAGAAGTGATAAAAAAATAAAAAAAGAGAAAAAGAAACTAATAAAATGAAAAAAAATTATAAACATATAAACACCTTTTAATTTGGGTATCCATTAAATATTGAATATTATTTTTTCATGATTAAACACAAATATTTATACTTTTTAATTAAATTATATTATTTTAATTATTACCATTCTAACTTAACTTATTGACTAACCTAATTTTTAGTGTCCTAATTTTAAGCACTCCTACATGTGCTCTATATGTTATACACTATAAATTTAATTCTTTTGATATCTCCAATTTTTATTATTAATATTTTGAGTCCCATTTAGGGTTGTTCACAGGACGGAGTTTCCGTCCCCTCTCCCCTCCTGAGGTTGTTCTTGTCCTGTTGGAACTAGGACAGGAACAGGATGGGTCAAAACATCTCATTCCAATTTTTTAACATACCACTTTAATTTGGGTTTGAATATTTTTTAGGTTGTAATATTTGTTTTTATTCTATTTCTGAAGATAAAAACATTAAAACAATATTATGTAGAAAGTCTACTGTGAAAAAATAGTAAAAAAAATACTATATAATAACATTATGAATTGTTTTATTAAGAAAGGATATTATGCTGAGATAACACTAGTCTATGACTTAACAACTGAAAATCATTGTACAAAAAAATTATTATTAGTAAGTAAATTGAATAATCTAATAATAATTATTAATAAGTAAATTTATAAAAAAAGAAAAGAATGGGAGAAAATACCAGGAGACTTGTAGTTGTCATGTCCCAAAATCTTTTTTATTTTGTCCAGTCCCATCCTGTCCCAAATTGATTGGGATGGGACAAATTGAGCACTTATAGTTTATAAGCAATAAAAACCCTTATACACTCTTCTCCTCTAATAGAATATCCAATACTTGGTTCATAAATTAACTTTTTCTCTTAGAATACAGGGTTGTTTGGCGGTAGAAATCTCCTATAAGCACGTTTCACATAAGTCGAGATAAAACTCTTTTCATATACTTGCTTCGTATTCTGTAAATTACTATTAAAAACAACTTATAAGCCACTTATAAATTGTTCTAAACGGGCCCATAATGTTGATTTTCAAAAAACACCTTTAAAACTCCGCTTTGATTTTTTTTTTTCCCGAAAAGGTTATCCATATTTTCTCGATGATTATGTGCAAAGACAAAAGAAACTGGATTGTTTAATAAACTAGTAGAAATATTGGTTTAAAAGTTAATAAATCATACCGGAGTCAGATTGAAGTTAAAATAATAATAATTAAAATGTGTAAAAATATTTCTATTTTAACTATCAAAATAATATTTTATCTTTTTATTTATTTTCTTTCACTTCTTAGGGTTTGTTTGGCCAAAGAAGAGGGGGGCGCAGGGGAGAGAAAATGAGCCGCTCCCTTCATTTAGTTAAAAATTTTAGAGGTGAGGGAAGTCAAAATGTCCGTCACCTCCTTGCCTCCCCCTCCCCCTCCCCCCTCCCCCTCCCCCTACCCATTTGAACTCCCCTCCAAATTGGGGGTTTTTGGAGGGAAGCTAAATTTTTGGACTATCATACTCTTATGATTTTTTTAATATTCCACTACTACCCATTAAATATATTATTATAATATTTATTTCAAATAAAAAATATATTATCCTAAGTATAAAAAATATAAATGATTATAATTAAAAAAGTATATTATAACAAAAATGAATAAAAATAAAAAATTATTTAAATAAAAAATTATAATATTATAAAATTAATTTTTAATAAATATATTATTTATTAAATTTATTTTAAAGTTGAAAAAAGGAATAGCATAAAAAGAATAAAATTTTATTTTTCTTAGAGCATATAAATTTGTTGATTTGATTATTTCAAATATGTTAGTTAAAATAAAAAATTACCATACAGTTTTTTAATACACATATTAATATGATAAGATTAAATTTTTATTAAATTATATAATTTAAATCAAGATGTAAGTTAATTTATATAATATAACGATAAAAATATAAACTAATGTGTAAGGGTAAAATGATAAATTAATTATTATACTTTTTCTTCTCTTCTTAATCAAATAAGGGATCATTAAATATTTTTTTCTTTTTTTAATCAAACCAAATAAAATAAAAAATAAAACCTCTCATTCTCTCTCTCAAACCAAAAGGTTCTTATTCTCCCTTCCATGTGATTTGGTTTTACTTTTCTATTTTTTTTTTTTTACTTTTTCTTCTAACTCTTTCCTCCCTCCCACAAGCATCCATCAAATTATATCACTTGCTTTTAGTTTTTCTCATCTGCTACGGGCTGATCTTGTCTTCTCTCTCTCTCCAAGCCTCCCATCTCTTCTTTCTTCCTTGTGTCCTTACCTTTAATGAAGGTCTCTTTCTCTCTCCTTTTTTTCTCTTTACCTTTCATGAGCAACACGAATGACGGAGATAGCCACTTAGCTGGTAGCGACACCATGGAGTGCGAATGAATGGAGCAAGAAGTGAAGATTGAAGACGACGTTGATGTCGCAACCACGAGCACTAACGAAGTTCGATCGGAATACTGAGTTTAGCAATGACGGACGCAAATGAGTTTTAGGAAAGGACATTTAGAGCATTTTTTTAATTGCTTTCATTTTTTCTCTGAAATTGAAAAATTATAACTTGGGCAACCAACAACCCAGCGAGTTAACTAGTTATTCTCCGCTCGTATCCAATTAAACTGGTTTGCACCGGGTCGTTTCCCATCAGGTTTAGGAGCTAAACCAGATCGGTTTTTAGACTTTCAGTCTAACTAGCTTGGTCCGGTCCGATTTTTCATTGTGTGCTTAACTTAAAAAACTATATTATA